CTCCCTCCCTGCTGCCTCCTGCTGCTCCTCCCTCTACTGAGGACTGAGACTGTGAAGAGTCAGAATCTGGCTCTGGGATTGACAGGGTGAGTTGGTTTAGATCTCTACATCCTGACATCACACTGACACTCCTTCACTACAGCTGCAGCGGTGTCACAGTCTAGATCTCTTCATACTGTCCTTCACTTCTTCCTCTGCCACTAATGTTCCTGATCTTTTCAAATAAAGGCTAATAATTCACAGTGATCTATGTCCATCACAGGAATCCTGAGTGTCTTCAGCTCCTCCTCTGAGTTCAGATGCTGATGGCATGTCCACTCCCTAACCCCACTACTAACCCCACTCCTCACTCTTCTACATGTGATCAACATCCCAGCTCAGAGGAGGAGCTGAAGACACTCAGGATTTCTGTGATGGTCAGAGAACACTGTGAATTATCAGCCTTTATTTGAAAAGATCAAGAACATTAGTAGCAGAGGAAGAAGTAAAGGAAAGTATGAAAAGATCTAGACTGTGACACTGCTGTAGTGAAGGAGTGTCAGTGTGATGTCAGGGTACAGAGATATAAAGTGTGAGGAAGTGTTCTGGCACAACCTGACCTATTTTAATGAGTTTACTTCTCTTTTTCCAGCTTTCAACAAAGTCACTGAATTCAGTCCAGCCTGGTTCCAGTCTGTCAACATGTGATGAATAAACACCTTCAGCTTCCTTCCTGCTGCTCTTCTCTCTCACTGAGGACTGAGACTGTGAAGAGTCAGAATCTACATTAGTTTCTCTCCCACTGCAGACCAGTCTGCAATCTGCTTCAGGAGTGGACAGTGACTGGGGAATTAGACTCTCCCCCTGCCCTCTCTCTGCACTGTCCTGCCTCTCTCCTTCTCTGCCTGCTGCTCTGTGTGTGAAGTGTGTTACTGGCACCCCAGCTCTGCCTTTTACACACACTATTCAAGGTTTGCTCTTCAGGGTTCAAGTATATTTATGTTGAGTGTTTATTTATCACTGGTTGACCAGCCTGGAGTGAATTCAAAAGCTTTGTTGAAAACTGAAAAGAGACTCATGTCCCCCAAGTCTCCAGGTGAGTTCTGCACAATTTCTCCTATTTCCTACAGCAGCTTCTCCCAGTAACACCTCTGCAACTCCACAGTTAGAAATAAATCTCATGCTTGTCACTTTGGTGAACTATGAGCTATATTGCACTTTACAGGTATGTGATCTTTATTGTACACTGTCTGAATGCTCAGGTAATGCTCAGAAATTATTTGACATAACTTTACTCTAAGTAAGACATATTGCACAATCCTTAAGACATACTCAGTGCTATTATTATTCATATTTCTCCAGGGGTGTAAGTTAATCTGCAGATCACTTTGTTTTTTATTATATGTTTCTAAATATCTCACTCCCTATTCCCTCTGAATCACTTCAGTGTTTCTGCCTGTATTGTCTCTGCCTCTTCATTCTTCTATTTCCCACTTTGACAAGTTATAATGCTCTCAGTTGTAGTATTTGAGAGGAGGTGATCTCTGCTACAGGATATCAGTCTCCAGTGAATGCTGGGCTCTTTGATATGTTGAATTTGTTTAGCTCTATAATTGTTAAATCCATCCTGCTAACTATGAATTACTTTGCTTGTTGCAGCACTGTAGTGGAGCTGATGGAAGGGGCTGCAGATTTAAGATTTGCATTCCCTGCAGGCCAAATACACACCCTGAGACCGGAAATGTTCTCACCTGAACGCTACACTGAACATTCCCGGTCTTCAGTCTTGGCTGTGGGGTGGTGTCTGTGTGTTGGGAGGCCATCAGGTTGCAGAGAAACAGGACACCTTGAGACCGAACAGAAGTCTGAAGAGGCTCTGAGGCTGAAAGCAACAACTTCTACCTGTGTTCAACTGATTGACTACTGTGGTAAAAGAGTGAAAATAAAACCAGGAATGACTAACACTTTTAAAATATTTATTTGTTTCTTTCTTCTTTTTTTCATCATGGAATAAACCTATTACTTGTTCTTTTAAACCTCAATATATTTGTGTATATACTGTGTATAAAGGAGATGAATATCAGTAAAATATTTTCTTTGCAGATCTGTGTTTAGTTGCCTAGCTGAATTACCCGCGTGGAACGGGTCGTGACCACAAGCTCAGAAACCGACACCATGTGTGAACGAGAAAACCATTACAGGTCCCTGGAAGTCACTCGTAAGATGTTGCCTATTGTTCAAATTTATAATAAAAATAAAAATCTAATTTTATTCTTAGTTTGTTACTTAAAGTATTACAAAAACTTAACCAAAAAAAAGAACGGTGTGAGTTATACAGAAATTCACAGATAAATAATAAACAAAGCAAACAAATCCAGCAATAATAAACTCACCTGCTGCCGGTGGCGTCTCCACTCCGCATGAGTGGGACTCGGCTCGCTTGGCGCAGGTGAGGCTGGTGTCGATGACGTCATGTAAACGGGACCATGCAGGAAGAGTGGGGGAGTTCGATTCAGACAGAGCTGTACTCCAGACCGGTCAGGGAATATCTCGGGGTATGATGGCCGCAACCACACACAATACTTTTAGTTTTTAGCTATGAGAGACTCAAACTACCTAGCGCTGTGAAAGATATAAATATTTCAGTTTGAGAAAACAAGATTCGTGAGCCGGCACATGATAATCTTGTTTTCCCTGGAGATTTAATCGGCTGATGCAGTTGGAAATATTCATGTTTTACATCTGCTTAAGGCACATCTTCTAATATTAACACGTCAACTATTTTCTCTTAAAGATTTTGATTCATGAACGGGTGATAACACACAAGTAAACACAGTTTTGACAGTGATGTTCTTAAAACAGAACAGAGATGTTAGTCCTAGTTAATCAAAGATTCATCGCTGGCAGGTCGTGTCTTACTGTCAAGAGCAGAGGGAGTTTCTCATTCTGTGTGGTTCAATCACACTGGAGTTTCCTAAACACATTCGTGATGATAAACCCCATTATGTCCGATAACATCATCTTGTGTAGCCCCCAAAACAGTGTGGCTTGACTGTTCTAGTGTTCTAGTTCTAACAGCCCTACACTCTATGGACCTCAGTTAAACATATTATCCAAATATAGAATCTCTTCCAATGACCTACAGGATGGGTGTACATCATACACTTACTCAGTTGATATACAATTTCCTTTTCTGGGAACAGTATGTACAAGTGAAGTCTCTCACCATCAGCAACCAGCACAGGGGTACCCCAGGGGTGCGTGCTGTCCCCACTGCTTTTCACATTGTACACTGATGATTGTGTACGCCACTCTGACATCTGTGTGATTATCAAAAAATTGGTTGATTTGGACTTTTGAATTATGGTGAATACAATCATAGACAGGAGAAAAATATATTTTTTAAATGGCGTCAGGATAATTCCCTGTTTTTAAACACAAAACAAAAGAAATAATCATTGATTTCAGAAAGAAATGTTCCAATCCTCTGAACACTGTAATTGTAAATGGAATGGATAGTGAAACAGTAAATGAATATAAGTACCTTGACACTATTATTATTTGTAAATTAACTTGGACAGCCACCACAGAGGAAGGTATTTGAAGGTGCAACAAAGGTTGTATTGTTTAAGGAAATTAAGGAGTTTTAATGTAGACAGCAAATTGTTGCCATTTTTATAAGAGTTTTTCTTTTTATTCAGAGCAGTCTAACCTTTTGTATTCAGAGCTGGGGAGGTGCTTTGTCCTTGCAGAACAAAAACAAGTTGAAGAAAGTGATCAGGACTGGTGGCAAGATTACCAGCGCATTCTTTGACTCGGTACCATGTCTTACAGAGCAACGTGTTATTAACCTTGCACATAAAATCTTAGATGACCCCTCTCATCTTTTCTTTTTGAATATACACTCCTATTCTCTGAAAGGAGTTACCAGATTTCCTGTATTGCCTTGATACCTAAAAGCATTCAATTTGAACAAACAGTGATCAAAAACTATGAAACATGAAAAAAACAATGTTCAGAGCTACAGATCGCATTGTTGTTGTTTTAGACACTTTACTAGTTAATTGTCTGTTTTTAAACTTATGATACCGGACTGAATTCTGACTGAGCAGTGTTGTTCTGTATTATGGTATTCTACTGTTGTTGCTGTGTTGTATTATTGTCATATATGGTATATGTTTATGAGCTCTTGATGTGCAAGACAAAGTCCTTTAGAGGCAATAGAGACTGTTCTCTAGAAACAAGAGATTGAAAGGATGAGAAACAAAGGCAAAGATAAATTGGGCTTAACAAGCATAAGTCATTTCTTTTTGATTTCAAGAAAAGGAATAAAAGGAAACTCCATTTCTGAGCCACTTTATTTTACACTGGTAAGAAGACAAAATTGGATGGATTTTTTGAGGGTGGAAATGGAAAGATTTTTTTTCTAAATTTGAGAAGAAATTTATTTTTTACATGTGTTTTGGATACAAGTCTTGTTTTGGTTTTTGTTTTATTTGATCAGGGTAGACTTGTTTTTTATCTGTAATTTAACGAAGGTGTGTTCTGGTCTTGAGTTCTGTCTGCTGGTCAACCTGGCAGATGACTGTATCCCACAGGGCATCACGCTTTCATTTAGTTTTCATTGAATAAGTATTACAGAAGTGCAACATGTCTCAATCTAAAGTCTAGCTTTTCGATTCTTAATGGAAAGTCTGACATTACTTTCACTTTCCTGTTTCTACAGCAACAGTCTAGCCTCCCAGAATCTCCTGTTTAATTCCCTCTCAGTCTGTTCTGGTCTGCAGTGGCTGAGCAGCTGCTGCAGGTCCCCCAGGAGAGCTGCACTGAGGGGGTGAAGAGGGTCCCTCCTGTGGGTGAAGACCCCTGAGCTCCTGTGGGGGGAGAAGCACGTTATCAGCGCAGCTGTGAGAGGTAAATAAAGAGCTTAAGGTCT